CTGGTTTAAATCTTGAATTTCATTCACCCAAGCCTATGTAATATAAAGAGCTCTTCCTGCTCATTTCTCAGCCTTAGATCTGGATGACATCTGCACCATGTTTTAATAATGGATCTGTCTGGACTTATTCTCTTCGTTCGTGCTCCTGCCAGCTTAAGCCCTTGTCAACTCAAAAGAATCAGATTTGTGGAACTGAAAGGGACCACAAAGAATATTAAATCCAATCCTCAGGACCATCTGGTTCAACTCCAGTTGAAACCAGTCTTGGAGATTTCCTCCTTCATATGAATATATCTGCCAAAAAGGGCCAAGAGAAATAATTTTTTTTTGCTATCCACTGATTATTAAAATTGCTTATAAAATAAGGTGTCCCATTTATTTGCAATGATGATCTCCATATTGTCAGACTGAACAGACAAAAAACATGTGGAGTTACTTCTGAGTAGTTTCTTTATTGTTCATCTACAGACAGAACCTTGCCAGACTAAAACCATGATCTGCATAACTATAGATATAGCCTGTGAACCGTTAGGGAGAGTAATTTTTTCCCTCTTCCTGCCAACCAGACATTCTGAGCTAGAAAGAAGCCCTTCCTTCCTGGTACTCCAGACTACATTCCACTACAATCTGCACATATCAAACCTTTCAGAATAACAGAGTTTGAAGAGATCTTGGAGGTCTTCTAGTCTAACCCCCTGGTCTTGCAGGAAACCCTATAATATTTCAGACAAATGGTTGTCCAATCTCTTCTTAAAACCCTCCAGTCTTGGAGCACCCACAGCTTCTGGAGGCAAGCTGTTCCACTGGATAATTGTTCTGTCAGGAAATTTCTCCTTAGTTCTAGGTTGCTTCTCTCCTTGGTTAATTTCCACCCATTGTTTCTTGTTCTTCACAAACAAGCTCCATTCTTTTTAAATCTCTCTAGGTAGCTGCTTTGCTCATTTCAGGTGGTTCAGTGATTCCTCACGGAGAGACCAGCCTCTCTTTCAAATCTCAGAATCTGATACATTGATAGTCCAAGAGGTCTTCCAACTTCCCATTAGAGGAAAGTTCTGCCCTTTAACATTAACTTAGCTTACCTGTCAAACCCAGAAATTAAAATAAAACACAACTGTGCATGCAAATCCCAACATCCCCCAATTTAAAAAATGTAGAAAAAGAAGTTGGGGGGGAGAGAAAAAAAGTTCTTTATGACCCAGGCATAAACAAAATGTCCTTTAAAAACTAAAACTTTAATTTTTAATACATATAGACAAGAAAAACCAAATGCACAGGTACAGTATAGGTGGTACCTGACTCAGCAGTAGTAACTGTGAGAGGGACCTCGGAGTCCTAGTGGACAATCACCTAAATATGAGCCAGCAGTGTGCTGCAGCTGCCAAAAAGGCCAACATAGTGCTAGGCTGCATTAACAGGGATAGAATCAAGATCACATGAAGTGTTAGTACTCTACAATGCCTTGGTAAGGCCACACATGGAATACTGCATCCAGTTTTGGTCACCACGATGTAAAAAAGATGTTGAGACTCTATAAATAGAGTACAGAGAAGAGCAACAAAGATGATTAGGGGACTGGAAGCTAAAACAGATAAGGAACAGTTGCTGGAATTGGGTATGTCTAGTTTAATGAAGAGAAGGACGAGGGGGGACATGATAGCAGTGTTCCAATATCTCAGGGGCTGCCACAAAGAAGAGGGAGTCCAGCTATTCTCCAAAGCACCTGAAGGCAGGACAAGAAGCAACGGATGGAAACTAATCAAGGAGAGAAGCAACCTAGAACTAAGGAGAAACTTCCTGACAGTTGGAACAATTAATCAGTGGAGCAACCTGCCTCCAGAAGTTGTGAATGCTCCAACAGTTTTTAAGAGACTGGACAGCCATTTGTTTGAAATGGTATCAGGTTTCCTGCCTGAGCAGGGGGTTGGATTAGAAGACCTTCAAGGTCCCTTCCAACTCTTATTTTTATTATTACATCTCTCCATGCATCTCATACCACCGTGTTATGGCAAAGTAAGCCTATACAGTAGGATGAAATACTGATCTCAAAACTACTGTCCTAGAAGCCCTCTGTATCTATACATCCTAGCTCTGCCTCTTGCTTTGGTGATAGTGCTATCATTACCTTCAGTATCCTCCAGAGCAACCTCTCACTTTTTATTCTCCCCCTAATGTTGGAGTGTGCTTGACAAAGATGATTATTGCAACCTTTGTTGCTTTATTGGCAAATAAGGAACAAAAGGGAAACAAAATAAAATAAAGTCAATAGCACCACATTCTGGTCTTCTTGTGTTGTGGCTAGAAGAATCAATCTTTTTTCTGTCCCTCCTTCAGAAGACAGACCAATCTCACAAGAGAGAAATAAAATTAAATTTTATTAAAAAGAAAAGCAAATGTAAAAATCCCCTTTTAGCTGTATATATGTGCAAAAATATTCAGTAGCAAAAGAGATAAAAATGTAGGGCTGTTCAATCCTCAGCAATTGTAAAGAATAAGCCCTCTAAAATAAAACTAAGAAAGGTATTATGTGGACTTTGGAGTATAGAAACTGATTTGTTAGTGATTACTTTGCAAATATAAGCCCAGACAACATGCTGTTTACCAAATATTAAGGTGTTTGTTAAAAAATCAATAAAATATATATTTTTTAAAAAATAAACTAAGAAGGAAAATATAAGAGCATAACATTGATCTGCTCCACTATAAAGCAATTGCAAATTGCATAAAACACACAAATTACTGGTTTTACACAAAGAACATCAATACAAGAGACAAAATATTAGACTTTAATACTGTTGAACACGGTAACAAAAATTAAACTTAAGGTGCAATTCCAATTAGACTTGTTATCTATTTCTTAGGATCATCTAATGCTTGAGGCTAGAGTCTTAACCGCTTGGACCTTTTCCAGCATTTTGTGGATTTTCCTTTAATGCTTGCTCAGGAAGATGCTACTTTTCTTCTTTTCCTGGTCTACATATTTAGCTTTTTCTATTATTACAAAAGATAATAGTTTTTCTTTATGGCAGAAAGGGAGATCTCCCTGCATACCTAACCTTCAGCCTTACCTCATTCTGGAAGATCCTGCTTGACAAGGGAATGGGTATTTCCTTCTAGTTAACAGTTGTTGTTCTTATGAAAGCCAAGGGGTATTGCAAAAGATGTGATTATCATTGGTTGAATAAGCCAAATAGATAAGTTCACTGAAAAAGTTGAACTATCATATATAGTTTACAAGCCATAATAATTTAATCCGTACAACCATGCACTGAAAGCAAATAAGACACAGTATGGCTTAGCAGTAAATGTGAAGCTGATTGGTAGGTTAAGATGGCGGAGTGGACGAGCAAAGAATTTTTAAAAGTTGGCAAAGCAGCAGTTGATTTAGCACTCGGTTTGCCTTTGGCCAGAGGTTCATAAACTTTGTAATCCTGCTGTCATCTCAAATAATAAATGATTTTGTGTGATACTTCACCTGAATAAAACTAAGTACAGGTAATCCTTGAGTTATGACCGTAATGGAGCCTGCCCATGACAATCATAAATCATGACGATCAGAAAATGTGACCAGACCAGTTTTTGCAACCTTTTTGCAGTGGTCATTAATTGAGTGCGGTAATCATAAAGTAAATGCAACAATTGTAAAGCGAATGCAGTAATCATTAAATGAACCAATGGTTTGCTATGGGGATTTTTTTGCTGAAAATTGGGAGTACTGTAACTGCCGGTTTTCAGCAAAAACATCATAAAGGATGGTCATGTGACCATGGGACACTACAAATGACCATAGATGTTGCCAGAGTGCCTGAAGCGCAGTCATGTGATCACGGGAGAACAGAATTTGGTTGTACCTTCTGGGAGGTCCATCAGAACTTCAAATGGTTGTTAAACAACTGGTCATAAATCAAGGAGTACCTGTAATAGATTTTAGTGGTTTATTGCTGTGGATTTGGGTGCTTCCTTAGCAGCTACTGTATTTCAGTTTTGTGTTTTATTGTGCTTTATTGTTGTTTCTAACTTGCTTTTTGTTGCACAGAGTCAAAACATCAAGTGATGGTTATACAAATTGAATGAACAAATTAAACTGCTCTCTGGTTTTCTCCATGAAGTTTTAGAGCACCAAATGTCCCTCTCAAAATCTTACAGGTGCCAAATATTAGCTAAAGTGGCATACTAAGAACCATCATCCCATGATCATCCTGTGAATGACTATAGGTAAAGATCATCAGCCTCTAATCTCCTTCCAGAAAGTAAAATTTAGGCAATTCTTGAATTTTCTTACTGTTCAGCAGTAGGGTGCATTCATATGTATGTGTGTTTGCAGTTATGGAAGGTTTATTTATTAAATTGATATGCGGCCCCTCTCACTATTGAGATGTTTAGTAGTCACTCACTATTAAGCAACTAGTAGTCCTTTTTTTACAGATTGTCCTCAATTTACAATTGTAACTGAGCCCCAAATTATGGTCATAAGTGCAAGTCGTTAAGCAGGTTCCCACATGACCACACCTGAATTTACAACCTTTTTGTGGCAGTCATTAAGCAAATGCAATGGATGTACAGCGAACATCACAGTCATTAAGCAGAGTCTGTGACTTTTAAGTGAATTCACAGTCTGCAATGCGTAGTTTTTGACAGAAACTGGAGTAAATATCAGTTTCCCGCAAAAAAAAAAAATTAGAGTCATGTGACTATGGGATGCTGCAAGCAGCCATAAATGCAGGCTATTTGCCAAATGCCCAAAATGTGATCAGATGACTGGGAGGAGAGGTTGGCCTTTGGAATTTTAAGTCCAAAGGAGGTCTGTTGTAACTTTGATCAATTGCTAAGCGAGCAGTCATAAGTTGAGGACTACCTGTAATTTCATTGGAGGCTTAGTCTGTTATGAGCCATGACTGCCATCTTCTTTAAAAATAAAATGTTCCTTTCAACAGGAAAAGACTGAGCAAAGCGACTGGAGCAATTGCTTTACATTTTGGCTTTCTCTTTTTGTCTTTCTACAGCTTTGATGTCGAGAATGGCTTCTCTCCAGGACGAAGTCCCCTTGATTCCCAGGCCAATCTGGGTCTGGGACTTGTTTTACAAGGCACAACACCCCACAGCCAACGTCGGGAGTCCTTCCTCTACCGATCGGATAGCGACTATGACCTCTCCCCCAAAGCCATGTCCCGCAATTCTTCCGTCAGCAGTGACATGTAAGCAGAGAGGGCAAGGGTTGGGTCAAACACACGGGTAACCCTGATACATTTTTCTGTCTTTTACTAGAAGAAAGTAAGACTCATAAAAATCACACAAAGACCATTTCTTTCTTTTCCACCTTTGACATCTTCTGTTATGGGGAGTTTCTTGATGCTTCTCTTCTGGCTGTAAAACCAGAGCCACACTAATCAGTGTTGTGTCCCAGGGACAACATTGTGTCTTAGGATGTTTGCAGTCTAGCTGCTCAAAGACTAGTGGCCAGTCTGGCTGAGATTAAAGAAAGATCACAGAAGAATGCCGTTTCTTCAGAATTCTTGTATTTGCAACCAGAACAGCCCTCCTCAGCTTTTACATTTGAGAACAATCCCTTATCAGGTTCGGTGGATTTCCATGTAAGGCAGTGAGACAGAGCCTTATAAAATGGGTGCAGTGCAGATTCTGACCCAAGTTTCTGTTTTCACCTGGGATATGTTGAAAGGCCTGCCATAGTGTGGAAAGTTCCAAGGCCACCTATATATTCCAAAGCAGTTACTCTAGATCCGTGGTGGTGAACCTATGGCATGCATGCCACAGGTGGCACAGAGCCCTCTCTGTGGGCACACGCGCCGTCGCCCCAGTCCTAGGCCTTCAGCTGGGTTTTATAAAACCTTTTCGCTTTAGGCCTCCGCCGCCATGTGCAAAAAACCCCCCAATGTTCAATCAATCAATTTCAACTTCTTGCGGGGAAAAAAAAGATCTTGCAAAGTTGGAATTGATTGATTGAACTTTTTAGTCCCACCCAGTCTGCCGTTACCACCGCAGCAATGCCCACCCAACAGGCCACGCCTACCCAATGGGCCACACCCACCCAATGGGCCACGCCCACCCAGCACCCGACGATACATAAGTGAGTTTTGGGTTGCAGTTTGGGCACTCGGTCTCTAAAAAGGTTCGCCATCACTGCTCTAGGTTAGCTGAGGAACAGAGGTGTAATCTGGATAGGGCACTCAGGATGGCACTTCATGCTGTGTTCGGAAATTGAACCCACCATTTGGACTTTGTAACCATTAACATCCTTCTCTTCTCCCCCTTGCAGGCACGGAGAAGACTTGATTGTTACTCCTTTTGCACAGGTGGGTATCTCTTTAGGGTTGGAAGTGGTTAACCCTTGTCAAGCCCCCCAAGACACTATTGTTGTGAATTGTAGCCTCATTTCTCTGAAAAGGATCAGGCTGGGGGTGGTTGTCCCTCATGGACCCTTCCTCACCTATATATATATTTGAACTCTTTCTAAAAGCCATTTACCTTGTTGGCCACAGTCACATAACAAAGCTAGAAATTTGAGGAATTAATGCTGCATAATTGTTTTTTGTCTGTTTTTTTATCTTCATTATCCCCCCCCCCAAAGTTTATATGTGCAAAAATAAGGAATGTCTCTGCTTCCACCATGCTATGCATAGCTTTTCAAGCTTCCACTCTGCCTCCCATTCATATCATTTACAGTATATCAATCTGCTTGCTGCTCTTAATATACATACCTCATGTACAGGTAGTCCTTGACTTACAACCTTTTGTTTAACGACTGTTCAAAGTTATGGCAGCATTGAAAAAAGTGACTTATGACCCTCACAGCATCCCCACGGCCATGTGATCAAAATTCAGGCACTTGGCAACTGGCATGTATTTACGATGGTCGCAATCTCCTGAGGTCACGTGTTTGTCATTTGTGATCATCCCAACTGGCTTCCAACAAGCAAAGTCAATGGGGGAAGCTGGATTCACTTATTGACCAGGTGATTCCCTTAAAAAGTGCAGTGATTTAATAACTGTGGCAAAAAAGGGTTGTAAAATCAGGCATGACTCATGCTTAGCAATGGAAATTCTGTTCCCAATGTGTACGTCCAGGACTACTTGCATGTGGTTTGGCATTCCCATATCCCTCCTTTGGGATATCTCACTGCTCTGTAACAGTGTTCTGCAGGAGGAAAACATTTTGTCTCTTAAAAAAAGGGAAGTACATGGAAGAATGAATTCACCACCTGGAGTGAGCAAGCAATTTTTCCCTCCTGGGATCCAGAGTTTTGGCGCTACCTAGGAAGGAAGGTTAAAACAGCCTCGCCCTCTCCTTGATCAGACAGCAAGAGAAAACTTCCATTTCTGGTAGCTGTGAGACCGCTGAGAGGCAGAGTTGAGAGTCAGGGAGGAAAAAGAGACTGACTAAAGGCTGCAACCTAAGTCTGCAAACCTCGCAGTATTCTCCGAAGCAGGAAAGTTTCAGGGAAAAATTGTATGAAGGGTGGTCCTCCTATATCAGTGATGGCGAACCTTTTAGAGACCGAGTGCCCAAACTGCAACCCAAGACCCACTTATGCATCGTTGGGTGCCGGGTGGGCGTGGCCCATTGGGTGGGTGCAGCCCATTGGGTGGGCGTGGCTACGGTGGTAACGGCAGACTGGGTGGAACTAAAAAGTTCAATCAATCAATTCCAACTTTGCAAGATCTTTTTTTTTTCTGTGAGAAGTTGAAATTGACTGATTGATTGAATCTCTTTTTTTGTACATGGCGGTGGAGGCCTAAAGCTAAAAGGTTTTATAAAACCCAGCTGAAGGCCTAGGACTGCGGTGACGGCGCGCGTGCCCACAGAGAGGGCTCTGAGTGCCGCCTCTGGCACCCGTGCCATAGGTTCACCATCACTGTCCTATATGATTACATCCTCTTGGGCTTGGTTTGTATAACCTGGTCAGTTAAAGACCAAGCATATAAAATATGCTAAACTTGGTTAATTTTAACCATGGCTAACTTTGAGGCCCAGTTAATCTTTTGTTTTATTTATGGTTCACTCTAGGAGGCAAATCCAGTAACTGAGGGTTGATTCAATAACTCAAAACTGTATTATGCAAATCCAGCTAGCGAGTATTCATGTGAGACCAAGAGAGGCTATGCAGATTCTGAGGGCTGTTCTTCTCCCCATTCACAGGTCTTGGCCAGCCTGAGGACAGTTCGCAGCAACTTCGCTGTCTTGACCCACCTGCGGGAACATGTCTGCAACAAGTGAGTGACAGGTTCAGGTGGGGAAGGAAGGAAGGAATCACGTGGGGTCTGGGCAATTAAAGGGGTGGTTGGCAAAACTGTGCCCCATTTTGGCTTTCCATCAACCTGCAGAAACCCTTTTCTGATCCTGTAGTTCTGCATGATGATTTGGTAAAGCAAAAATGGATACAGAAGGCATATCTCTGGGGTCTCGTCCTTTTGTCCTCCCCATTGTGTACAAAGATACCTCAAATACCATTTGTAAGGACCATGTTCTCATGATACCCCCGTCTGCTGTTACAGTGAGGTTTTCTTCATTCTCCTTGTGTGTCTTGAGGATAATATTGGTGATTGTGCAGTCCAGAACTTGGATTTGTTGAACTTCTATTGCCTGCTTAAGACTGTTACAGCCACACACATGTATTGTGTCACTGGGCCCTGCTCTCTGGGACCATTTTGACTTGAATTGCAAGAGATCTGGGCACTTGACTTCCATGGAAGCATCTACCCACGTAACCCCCAACTACTTCATTTTATGAATATGGATCTGCCAGTTTTCTGGAAGACTGGTAACCCTGTTTTTTGGGCAGACTTGTCAATAACTAATAGATTTGTATGTATAAAAGAGTAGTCCATATAAACAACGGAAGAGACATCTCATTGGTCATACTCCCAAATAAACATATTACATTTTTTTGCTAATCCTAACAAGTGCAGGATTTGCATGATCATTCTTCTCCTGGTGTTATCTTTTTTAGGGGGGGTGCTCCAATTTTGGCCACTGTAATGCAATTTTGTGTGTCCTGTGGGGGCCACTAGTTGCAAACTCCATCTTTAATAGATTACTGGGTTGTGAAAAAGTGAAAGAGCAAGTTCCCTTTTTTCCTCACAGGAATACTGATTTTCCAGAAGATATTCCCATATTAAAAAAAGAAGCACCACCAACAGTTGCTGGGATGTTGGAGGGGAGCAGGATGATGCAGAAGAGAGCTCCCCTAATGTAGCTGTGAGCTCTTCCCAATTGAGACTGTGTTGTTTTCTCCCCCCCCCCCTCAATATGACTCTTGACATGAACGTATCAGTCTCCAGAAGACTGATATTCCCATGTCAAGAAAACAAAGAAAAAAATATCCAGTCAGTGGGGCAGACAAGAGTAGCAGTGTGATGGGAAAAGAAATAAGCTCTTTCCTGCTCCGTTGTATGGCTGCCAATCTTTGTCAGCTGGAAGAGCTGATCTCCAAAGACCAACTATCCATGTTCGCTTAGGCCATTTGAAAAGGGGCTAAACTCCTCATTTCAGGCAGATGCGGGAGTTCCTCAACCTTGCGCCATTGGGCCACATGTTATGGAGAGCGATTCATGATAGTTTTTCCCATCCCTAAGAAACCTATGATGGGAGAGGAAAGGAAGCCTGGGAATTAAAGCTGTACTGCAGCCTTCCTCCCCAGCCTGGTTGCTCAGGCACAGTGAAGCTTACCTGTTGGCCTACTTTTCTTCTGATTCAAGAACGGGAGGAATGCTGATTTAATACAGCTATGAAGCCACATCCTCAGTGTCAGTGAGTTGTGCAGGTCTAAAGAGAGGGAACATAACAAGAAACAGAGACAAAGATGGGAAGTGCATTTCTAGGGTGAGAGCAGCTGTGTTCACAGCGGAGGTCAAAAAGGATTAAGATGGCAAATGCACGGTTACAATGCAATAAGGCCAAAATGCCCAGAGGAAGGGATCAAAAAAGTGAAGCAGGTCACTACAATCATGCAATTGAAGGGGCAAAGGGATGGAGTTTGCATTCATGACTAGATGTCGTGTCTGCCATCTTGCCCGTTTCGACCCGGGGGGGGGGGAGGAGAAGAACCTTGCTGTGTGAGAGCCACCTTTGTCCCAGATTTCCGAGAGAGAAGTAGGGAAGACATTTCACATTACTGCTCCCCTCTAAAACTGTACTTCTTTGAAGTACAGCCTCTTGGCATATTGGCTGAGCTAATTTTCAAATACATTTGCTTAGGAATGCGGCCTTCTTTCAATTAAGAGTTCATGGTTCAATTATAATTTGTATGCCGGTAACCATACTGTAATCCTATGTGGAGGAGGGGGATGAGCTCTTGAGTAAATAGCTTGTTGGGGGATTTTTTTTCCCCTCTCTCCAGCATCGGCCACCGAGGGCCACAGGGCTTCAGAGAAACTTAACTTTATGCTATATTTTGCAGACGAACTGGTCCTATCAATCCCCTCACCACGTCTAAGGTCAATCTATCAGGTAAGCCCTCTCAGCTGTCTCTGGGATGTTTTCCTTCCCCCCCCCCCACACACACACGCAAAATACTGTCTTTGAAGTGAAGTGGCCTCACCTTGTGAAGTGGCCCATATTACAAACTGGAAACTCATAAGCTTGTAAAAGGAAATCAGCTGATTTGGATCCAAGGTCTGCATCATTCAGCATCTGGCTTTCAAGAGAGGCCAATCAGATGCTTCCAGAAAGTCTGCAAGGAAGATGCATAGGCAGATGTCCTTCTGCGGTTATTCCCAGTAACTGACATTCAGAGCTAGACTGCCTCTGACTATGGAAGTTTCAGGCTTCGTTCACGGCTTAATAGCTATTAATAAATCTTCCCTACTGAATTTGTCAAAATCTCCTGTCAGCCATTGCTACATTTGGTGGGCAAAGAGTTCTGTAAACTAAGCTCTATGCATAAAACAGCTTTTTTTTAAAAAAAAAAATTGGTTAACTTGTTAAATTGGAGGTGCTGCAGACTCCTTTTTTTTTTTTTAGGAGGCGCAAGGGAAAAAACAACCGTCTCTTGCAGGATTTTACTTCTTGCAGGATTTTACTTCTTGCAGGATTTTACTTCTCTCACATTCTGCTTTAGTTGCTTTCTTACCCCACCCCACCCCCGTGCTTTACCCTTTCCCATTTCTGAATATTGGGAAACGATGATTTGCCCTTTTTCCAAGTGACTTTGTGGCACAGAAGTTCGAACTAAACATTTTTGGGGGTGGGGAGTGTTTCCCTCCTAGCTCCTGTCTATGCAGTGTCAGCAGGCAACTGTACTGAAGCCGTGGAAAGGAAAAAAAAAAAAAAAAAGGTTTCTTCTGCCTAAAGAGAAAAGCTGGGAGGGGGTGTGTGTGATACCAGCTCCTTTTCATGCACTGTGCATGAGAGTAGCATTGAGGCCCGCTGCAGGTGATTCTCCCGGGAGCCTCCCAGGGCCTGTCTTGCCCACGGTGGGATACTTGCCCTCCCACCCCTGCCCGCCACACCCCCCCCCTCAGCCTCTGCAGTCTGTGTTTGCTCTGGGCTGCCCTCTCCCTGCCCCTCCTTCTCTGGCTCTGCTTCATGCCACCTCTGCGGCGGGTGGAACGTCTCCAATTGACGTCAGTTGTTCCATTATTCAAAGCGCTCTCTTTCAGCTGGTCTCTGCGGCCCCACAAGAGACAGGCCCTTCTGATGGGCAGCCCTTCCTTTCCTGTCTCAGGGCAACCTGAACCCCCCCCTCTCTCTCTCCTGCATTCTGCTAAACCTCTGGCCGACCCCTGACATCGGGCAAATCGGGTTCCAGAAGCATACATCAACCTCCCTGGGCTTGTCTGACAGAAGGCAGGGGTTGCAATAGAGGCACACGCTGCAGCAAATGGGGAGGGGGGGGCTGTTTGATGGCTCCCAGTGAAATACGTTAACGAGAAGGGGAGGCAACGTATATATACCGATGCTATGGCCGAGCAGGATTCCCAGGCTGTGGCATTCAAAAGTCCCAGAATGACAGGGAGGAAAGCCTCTATTACGTCCTTATCCCTTTTCTCGTCTTTGCTTCCTTACCTTGCCTCTTTGGACAAGGTAAGCAACGTCAGGACAGCCTAAAGCCAGGATTCTGCCCTAAAATTCAGGGTTTGGTTGATCGTGATATATTGAATAAGCCATAGGTCCTTGGTTCACAGATAACGCTAAGCCTCTATGAATGAGCTTGTACATTAAAGCAAAAACAAACTAAATTTAGCCTTCTATGAGGCATGAGCCCAGGAAAGATTGAAATGTAGATTATAAGCTCCTTGAGAGCAAAGACCTGTCTTGTTTCTCTAGCCCTGTGTTTTTCAACCTCAGCAAATTTAAGATGTATAGACTTCATTTCCCACAATTCCCCAGCCAAAATTGCTGAGGTTCAGAAACATTGCTCTAGCCGTTTAAAATATATGCAAACTACTTTTCCAGCAGGCATTCAATGTCCAGACTGCTGCTTCAAGTTATTATAGAATAAAATTACAGAATAAAAGAGCTAATGCTAACAAAAGAATATCCCAAAAGCAAATTAAAATATTAGGGTTGCAACCCTTAAGGAAAATGGTCCAGAATAAGAGCATTTATTTATGTTGCAGCAATTCTAATATAAATCATTAATAGTTTTTTTCTGGCAATCCCATGTGGATCAGCATCTTGTTCCCTGAGGAGGCTAATATAATATTCAGAATCAAATGATCCTGTTCTGTTTATTGTGGGTTTGCTTCCCAGTTGATTCCAAATATTCCAACTGGGATCTTGGATAACTCTAAAATGTCCCATTTTATTTAACCTTACTTGCAAGGTTATTATGCCTCCATTATATCTAGCCCCCACCTTGATAGTTCTGAGAGGATGACACATGTGAACTCCAAAAAATAAAACCAAACTAGAACCAGTTTTTAGAATGTACCATTGTGTTTCCACCTAAGGCTACCCAGGTTATTGGCAGTTTTTAATCTAATTTTCAGTGTGTGTGGAGACTCAACAATGCCACTCCTTAATATGGCGCAGACATGCCTTATAGACCAGGAGTCTCCAACCTTGGCAACTTTAAGACTTGTGGACTTCAACTCCCAAAATTCCTCAGCCAGCCAGCTTGAAGTCCACAAGTCTTAAAAGTTGCCAAGGTTGGGGACCTCTGTTCTAGACAGCATTTTCAGTGATGCTCTTTGCATTTCCTAGAGGATGCCTACCAAAAGTTGGCTATCGAGACCTTGGAAGAGTTAGACTGGTGCCTGGATCAGCTGGAGACTTTGCAAACACGTCATTCAGTCAGTGAGATGGCTTCCAACAAGGTAAGACATTCAACCTGGGTTGGGATTCAACTCCAAGGACAGGAAGTCCCCTCTTCTCTCTCTCTCTTGACCACTGTCAACCTCGGTTATCAGTTCCCCTTTTGGCAGAGAAATGGCTGTTGTGTTATGGCCATGGAGTCGTTTCTTTTTTAAAAATGGCATAAGGTTTTGAGAAGAAAAGAGGAAGCCAAGGAAACGATGCAGGCTTTTTGCTTGAAGCCGATTAAAATTTGAGGAACAGCTGAAAGTTGAGAAATGGGGTTGCTGTTTGCAACATTCCACCAGCCACCTTTGCAAAACAATTTTATGTGATTCCAGGGGTCTGCAACCCCTGTTTGTCCAGTGCAACTCTTCCCAAGATATATTCCTGTGCTGTTTCAACTGGAGAGTTAGGGAAGGCCTGCTCTGGGCCAACAGCCCTCAAGCAGTGCCTTTCCCCACGGTTCACTTTTATTCTTCCCTCTGAAGAGAAGCATTTGTGAACTTCCTGAAGGGCAGCCTTGGTTGACCAGCCATACAAATAAACAAACCACGATATCGGTCATAAGAGATCAGAAGTGACTGCTATAAATAACTTTTATGTATTTCAGTAGGAAAAAATGTCAGAGGAGACAGTTGGGGAAAAATAAAAGTATGGGTCAGTATTCAAAATGCTAAAATGGCTGGCAACTGTTATTGCCTTTCGTTCAAGGCAATAAAATAAGTTCTTTCAATTTTTTATACACCCCCAGTTTCTGCTCCGTTGATTGCAACAGAGTGGAAATTAATAATAATTATATATATATATATATATACACTGTGCTGAAAGCCAGTGAAAAGTGAGGATTTGTGGGGGGGGACATTCCAAACCATAAGAATGGGGTAATAACACCCATTTGCAAGGTTTATATAACATGCAATTACTATCTGATGTCTTAATAAAATAGCCTGGATCGTAAACCAAACCATGCCAAGCTACCCAATTCAGTTTTAGCTTAAAATGTCCAGCCTATCTGTGGGGCAGGAAGGCAGGGGTATATTTAAATAAGTGTCTTCCCCTGGCCACTTTTAGATTCTGAAAAAGATCAGCCTTCCCTCCTATCACTGTGAGCCCTTTTTACCACCAAAAGAGAGAGAGAGAGAGAGAAAGAGCGAGGCTCCTCCAGCCTTTGTTCACCCTAGGAAATCCACTCTCTCCAATTGTCAATGGTTTTCTTGAAGAAGGTGAAATGGGGGGAGGGGATTATCTCCCAGTATTCCTCTTCCCTGGTCTCTCTGACAAGCCTTGGCTGTTGCTAAACAGAGTTTTTGGAAACAACTTCCATGCTCTGTTGTGCCTGGGCACCATCGGGGTTAAAGCAAATCGCCTTCCTCAGAGGGTCTGCCAGCCAATCGGAGAGAGGAGCTGGCTCCAGCCTCTGTGGCTGGGGCTTCTGATTGGATGGCAGCAGAAAGGAGAGGTACCTGATGCTGGAGCAGCCTTGGTACATCCATGGAAAAACCTGTCTTCGGCAGTGATGCAGGGGGGACTTTGTCCCCCTCCCCGGCTGCTGTCCTGACTCTCAGCGTGGCAGACAAGTCCTAGGCTCCTTGTTGCAGAGCTTGGGACGGTAGTTCGGGCCTCTTGGTAGAAGCATCCGTGGTCTGACTAGGGCACCTCGGAGAGAAGGGTGGGCTCGCACGCAAGCTGGCACTTTTGGCGTTGCGATGCCTGACGCCAGCACTTCGTTGTTCGCATTCTGGGACAGCAGCATCAAGGTAAGTGGGGACTCCCCGACACAATGTAACTCTTGGCAAATCTCTCCGGCAAGGGATGCAGGACAGGGGTTTTGCCGCTGCAAAGATTTAGTCACAGACACAAAACATCAAACAAACAAACACACACACACACACACAAACGTATGCACACCCCTAAATGCATGCTATTCTGCAGCAGTGGGAATGCCTTTTTTTCTCTCTCTCTCTAATTGTTCAGGTATCCTCTCCTTATCGCAGGAGCTCAGGGGAGGTTTCTGCTTTTGATACATCAGTAATGCTTTTATTTTTTTAACCTCGATGAAAATACTCTCGAAGGAACTCCGCAAAACTGTGGCTGAATAATGCCGTCACCCAGACAAAACAGTACTTCAGAAGGGTGTCTGTCCCCGTCCCCAAATAACATGCCACTTGATGAAGAGACATTTATAAAAGAAGCTTATTTCAAAGTGGGCAAAAAAATGCAGTCAAGGCAATCGTGTGTGTTTTGAGTTATACAGAACTCTTCTTCCCACCAGCTGAATTTTTAAACAATTCTAGGAAAGGACCAAGTGCATTAATCCACATTGTAGAATATAACTCCACATTGTTTCACATAAGTATAATTCTTTTTCATTAAGGTGAATCCTTTAATAGGATGGAAGGCTTGTTTCAGTATGGATGAGATCTAGCACATCCGACTTGGAACTAGGTCATGTTTGAGAAAAGCAGTAAAATATACAACATGAATGTATCTTTGTATGTATCACCCAATTCTTTATGGAGTTTCTTGGGTATTCTCCTCTTTTCCAGAGATAAAAACGAATTTTTACACTAGTTTTGAAGCAAGAGTCCTGAGCTCACCTTTGGTGTTTGAAAATTTTCACTTTTAAGAATGTAAAATTGAAGATTAATCTAAGGTTTGGGCAAACAGAATTCCCCAAGTCATTGTTTTTTTAAATTTTGTTTGATGTTTCTTCTTCTCCTTGGCCATACGTGCTACCAGTAATACACATAATTTAAATGCTTACAACTCAGCGAGAAAATAAATATTAGGTTTGTAGCTCATCAAAAGATTTTGCTGTGGTTTAGCTTTTCCTCTGCATATTTCAATATTTGCTTTCTTTTGACTCATTTTCATGTCTCAGGTACTATACTACCTCAATACCTATTATTTTAATGTTTAAAAATCATCTTTGTTTGCAATTTGGCAATCCTTTCCAGATTCTGAATATAACCAGAAGCCAGCTGAGAAAATTCAGAAATTAAGAAGGAAAGTAGATCTTTTTCTGCTGCTGAAGTACCTTATTTGAAATATCTTTCCTTGCCACTGATCTCTTTCTTTAACAATGGCCTCCTGTTCAATGGTATCTTTAAGGCCATGCTCCTGATCCAAATGCTGTGATGGGTCCTTACAGGTTGCTGGTTTCCTCTCCCCTCTGTCTCTAGTTTAGAAGAATGCTCAATCGAGAACTGACACACCTCTCGGAAACAAGCCGTTCTGGAAACCAGGTATCCGAGTACATCTCCAACACATTCTTGGGTGAGTCATCAGCTTAATGGTCTTCAAATGCAATTCTTGAGGAAATTGTTAAATTGATATGGAAGAGTGGGACAGTCACTTTTCTAAGGGGAGGCAGATGTAAACTGTTAAAGAAATGTTATTCTACAGAAGCCTACAACACATACTGCTCTTTTTGATCCTGGCACATAAGCAATAGGCCTTAGAGAACATTAGAAATAAAACTGAACAAAAAATAAAATTCTTTTGCAGTATTTTCGGATTTCAGGTTTCTTGAATCCTTCTCGTGAGGTTATCGCTATTCTCTTTTAAAACACCATAAAGAGAAATTTTGGAGAGCTGTGCTGTAGCAGACCTACCAAGCTGTCTAGTCCAGTGTTCTGTTCCTACAGCGATGAACCAAACATCACTGGAAATTCTATAATAAAGACATAAATGCCATCTCCTTCATGTACAAACTGAATTCCTGACCATACAAGTTGACAACCAGTGGAACAGACTGCCACATGAAGTGATCGGTTCTTCTTCACTAGAAATCTTTAAGTAAAGGCTATATAGTCATCTGCATAGATGTACTAGTGGATCCTGTACTGAGCAGGAAGTTAGAGTAGACCCTTCCAACTTTATTCTGTATTTCGCCATGATGAATATTCAGAAGTGTACTTCATCTGATACTGGTGGTGACATACTCCCTCAATAATGGACAACCTCATTCTTGTCTAATCTCCTTTTTACACTATCCAAGTAGGCATGCATCACTGTGACTTGTGATAATGAACACCACAGTTAAACTTTTTGTTTGCTGAAAAGTGCTTTCTTAATTAGTCCCAAATATCTTATCATTAAATTTCTCTTTCCATTATCTACCATTGCTGCATTCTGACTATTCTAATTCATCTCTAGCATATCTCCACTAATGTATATCTTTTTTTATCTAAATTCCCCAGCTTTTTATATATTTTACATATTTTCCTGATAGCGAATTAGCTTTAGCCCTACATTATTTTGGCTATTCTTTCCTGCACCTTTTCCATATTATAAAATTATTTTTTTAAATGCAGCAATTGTATACTAGAATTATGAAAATGATAGCTTCATTCATTCATTCATTCATTCTTTCATTCATTCACTCAATTTCTATAGCCACCCTTCTCAACCAAGTGACTCTGGGAAACTTACAATTATAACATTATAAAGCAATTAAAAACATTAAAAGAATAAAGGCATCCACAAAATAAATGTATAAACAGCAGCTGTGATAATTTATCAACTAATAGCAAAGCCAATTTAATTTCAGTTCTTTTACTAAAAATTTTCAAAATGGAATTAACCTTTTGAATAGGGACTGCATGTTGAGTCTTGTTTGAGATAATCACTGCAATCCCAAGATCCTTTTTGTGGATCATCAATGAATCTAAAAAATTAGGCTACGCTGGGCAGTAAATGTACTTCAATTCTTGTGTAGAATAGCACTTACCAAATGTGAATAGTATAATGCAAACATATATAGAATAGCCAAATATAATGTGTACCTGACTTTAATTCTTCAAAGTTTATCTAATTCATGAAATGCTATCCTCAGTTTTCAGACAGACAAATAAGTCGAAAGATGGATATATATATATACAGGAATAGAGAATAAAAAACTTGGTTAAAATGGTCTTAGTCCATTAGGTCATCAATACTTCTATGTATGCCCTAATGAAGAAATTGGTATTTTGCATTCACATGGAAGTAGGCAAGTAGGTTTTCATTCTGGGGCAGCACCTGTATTGTGGCACAGGTGAAATTCACACATCTCCAATTATATCTTTTAGAATCCTGTTGAAGACCTGTACATTCCCCTTGGTCTTCTGAATATGAAGGATCATTGAATGATTTCTCATTTGATTGTTCTTTTTCCTCCCCTATTCATTTTTTCTATTATCAAGGATGGGCATAGCATTTAAAAGAGCCATTTCTCCAAGTACCTTTGTTGAAAATATGAAGGCAACTGTGTCCTTGACAAGGCTGGCATGGCTATTTTGAAATCTTTCTCCGACTCTTTCTCTATCCACATGTGTGCCCAGTTATTTTGCTTCTCTAACAGTTTTTTCACCTGTATTATCTATACATGTATATACAGGCAGAGACAACTGGGACAGAAGCAACTTTATGAGCTTTGTGAGCAAAGTGGCTGTTTTAATGTTTCAAAGAGAAATGCTCCTCTTGCATTAACTCTGTTTAACCCTTTGCACAAACTATTTTTATAGCGACTTAGGTGGTGTCTTTACTATTCTATTATTGTTGTAAACCACCTAGAGAAACAAATGTAAGTGAAGCTATGTAGAAATGTATAACATAACAACATATACATCAAGTGCACTGATAATGCACAAGAATAGTAGGCAACAATACATGCACTCTGACTTTGATAGGCAAACTGAAAGTCGCAAAAGGAGGGAAACAATGGTCTTTCTTAAGCTATAAAATAAATGCCTAAATTCTACTTCAAACCTGCCTCGTTTTTTCAAGGCGGCAAAAATGCAGGCAAGATTGGCGCATTCTTCTTAGCTTTGCAAGAGAAGATACCTTTTAAAGTTCTTCTGTTAGTGGGTGATGTCAATAATAATAATAATAATAATAATAATAAATAGAATTTATTTTTATTTAATTACTTTAAAAATAAAAAATTATAAAAATCAATAATAGATGACCCTGAATAACTGAAAGTTCTCCTGCTGTTTGGAAGGTCATTGAAAACATAATAATGTTTAAAATGCAACACTTCTAAAAGAGACTAATTAGAATAGGATGACCATCTGTAAGCTGAAAACATCTGGACCACCACTAGATAGCTGCAGCAAGTTAGAGTTGTCTAACTTTTAAATGCTGCCTTCTAATGATCATCCAGATATATGCAGTTCAGCTAATGACAGTCTTACAATAAAGAAATTTGTCTGAAGCTGAGTACAAACATTTATGATTTTAAAAGAAAAAAGATCAAAACACATTCTAAGCAGTTATCTTGGAAGGAAATCCTAATCCTGTTGTTCTTATTCAAATCTTTTATCTATGAATAAAGAATATGCTTTGATTATATCACTATTGGTGCTTATAAACAGTGATTTCGCTTAGCAATTTTTAAAAATTAAAACATAGGAAAGAAAGTTCTTTCCGTTTGTTCTCTCCATGTATGTGACTTTTTTTTCTCATGTGTTATACAAGTTTGAGTATATACGTGTATGTGTATGTGTGTGTGTGAGAGAGAGAGAAGACAGGTGAAATGGGGAGACCCTGGCTGGTCTTAGAAACATCACTTTGAGGAAAGGACCGACATTCCACCACGCATTGTCTCTGGTTGCCATGGTGTCTGTAATATTATTAGTTTCTGCTGACGTCAATCCTTCCGTGCCTCAATATTGGGGGAGGGTCTCCCTTTGAACAGCAGGAGACTTGTGCAGGGGTGGGGGCTTTTCATACTCCACTTTTTCAGCATGCTTAACTCTTTGGTTTCAGAAATGTTGTTTCAAGGAGGACAAATGTTAATGCTGGACAGGGAATTTGCTAGCTCATAACAACTTTGAAATGAGAATGCTGAGTTCCCAACTCCAAGTGGGGAGAAAGAGTATGTGCTTTTAAAGGGTTTCACAAGATACAGTTTCTTCATCCTTCTCTATCTCCTCCTCTTACTTCTTGACTTGAATTTAGATTTTGTAAAGCTTCGTGAAGATGGAAGGTGCCATATGTACATAATAAGGCAACGGGGCTATGCTCCTCAGATTAATAGGAGCAAAGATCTGATTTGATTTATGTTGATTCTTTGATTGTCAAGATACTGTCACGACACCATTTTTTTTTAAATCACAGAAAAAAGAAAGTTCATAAAGGTCCTGGATTTTATTGTGAACCATCAACTCATTTAAGCTGTCAGCCTATATTTTGTTCCTTTCATTGCAGGGAATCTGTTTCTTTCGGGGAGCTTCTCTATTGTCATTCATGATCTCAATAGGAATCCCCGTAAGCTTCTGAAGAATTTGGGGGATCTACGTAATAGGACTTGTTCCATTGCTATTGTATTTTCTGTCTCCTGCAGACAAGCAGCATGAGGTGGAAATCCCAACCTCTGTTCCCAAAGAAAAAGACAAGGAGAAAAAGAAGCGGCCAATGTCACAGATCAGTGGTGTGAAAAAACTGATGCATAGCTCCAGCTTCAGTTGTGCTGCCATTCCTCGTTTTGGAGTAAAAACGGACCAGGAAGGGCCACTGAGTAAGGTGAGGAATGCCAGGCACCAGAAAAGACTGGAACAGGAAAGCTGGCGTGGTTCACTACATATTGGGGTTGTATATTCTGAATTTTATCTAAATGCAGAATTGATGTTCAACATAAAGAAGTCCTACCGCAAAGCATTTAAAAACAAGTTTCTAACCTTCAAATTGCATAGCTTAACTATAGTAAGAATATTAACTGAAGACTAGTTGGGATGGCGAGGGATATTTTTTCTGCAGGTTTACAGATTAGTTTTGAGGCTGTGGGGAGAGGGGAGGGGTATGGAATAGATATCATTAATTGTGGCTCCACTGTTGTGGGACTCCCTTTAGTTGCTTCTTGTTGAGTCGTAAGCAAAAACTCTTTTCTTTGTAAAAATAATTAAGCTGCTTCTTACGTGCATGGAAATCTGCCAGTTTCAGGTTGTTTTAATTGCTTAATGTTTCATTCTTACTGTAATGTTTTTAAACCTGCTGTAAAACATCTTGATAATAATTTGATTGATCTTTTGATTGGTGGAAGAAGGAAGAAGGGCATCTGGCAGGGGGAACTAAGAGGAGGAAAGGAAGATGGGATTCTTCAGGGAAATAGAGGGAGAGAGGGAGGGAGAAATCCAGAGGGCGATATTGGAACTCAAATAAAAACTGAGAAGAGGCGAAGGGACTATGTCTGAGTGAGTGATGATAGAGAACGAAAAAAGAAAAAAATAAGGGGAGGGCTGCGGACGATGGAAGCATATTTACAGAGGACAAATTGAATGGTTTGAAAGAAAAAGAAATAAAGAAAATACAATAAAGGAATTGGAAAGATACTGAAACAAGAAAAAAAAAGACAAGAACCTGGCTTTACACACACACACTCACAAACACACACTGTATGAGTGTGTATGTGTGAATATATAAAAATCTAGAAGCCATATATCCCTATTTCAGTCTTTGCAATACCACTTTGGTAAATGCTATCCCCTTTCAATTGAGCACAATATATTGTGAATCAGTTCTACTTAATCATGCAATGTACCACAGTTCCTGAAATTCAGTTTGAGTTTTTTACGTTCTTACTCCTGCTTATTTTAATTGTCTACCTACTGAAAACTTTAGTAATTTTTTATATGTTGTTCAGTTATGCTAAGTAAGTCATCTTATTTGGAGAGACAGGGAGGCAGTTTGTTTCTACTTTTGTTAGTTGGCAGAATCCAAGATTGTAGTGACACCTTTTCTTGCCGCCCCCTTTAGGAACTAGAAGATGTGAACAAATGGGGCCTTGATGTATTCAAGATTGCAGAGTACTCTGGCCACCGCCCACTAACAGTCATCATGTACAGCATCTTCCAGGTGAGCTGACTCTTTTTCACAAAAAGTATCAGGTTAACAAAACTGTTATTGAAATGTCAAAAGCTAAATGGCAAAGGAGAGATACTGCAGTTTTATCATTAAACAGGGCCATTGGACTGGAAGAAGAGTCCAAAGAAGTAGTTCAGTCTATATGTATATTGATCGATCAATAATGTAAGGCAGGTACATTAGGTAAATAACATTTTACGCACTAATGGTCACTTCCATGCTGCTTTGAAGCCTTACACATTTAGTTGTTATGCCTACTTTGCAACAACATCATACTGATTGATTTGGAAATTGTAGGGTATTTTTTTAGGAACTATGGCTAGAGTAAGAGATTTATTGTGTCCTTGGCTAGTTCTGAAATCTCAGGAGAAAGGATGAATTTGGTTTCATGAGTTCTTCCTCCAGCTCTTCTTTTCCCCGTTTCTCCGATGTTTTAACTAGGAGGGTCATAGCAGCTTCCTTCTGTATTGTCCACATTATAGGAAAGGGACTTGCTGAAATCTTTTCACATTCCTGCGGATACCTTCATCACATTCATGATGACCCTGGAAGATCATTATCATGCTGATGTTGCCTATCACAACAACATTCATGCAGCAGATGTTGCCCAATCCACACATGTATTGCTTTCAATGCCAGCTCTGGAGGTGAGTCTACAGAAGGCTTTTTTTGGGGGGGGGGAGCTTTGAAATAGGCAGGGAAAAAGAGAGGGAAATTTCTATATCCTCCTTATTTTGCTGTAATTGTTGGAGCAATTCTTTCAAGTCACTTGGGGGGCTTTCTATAAGACAAGAACAAGCTGTGCAGTTGACTAATAAACTCCTACTAGGAAAATCCTTGAATTCTGTGACACTCAAAGAAAAAAGCTAATTCTTCCAAGAAAAAAAATTCTGGCACAGCCGGCCAATTTCTCCATTGTTCTGTTAAGCTATGAGAGAAGAGACCAGTAGTTCATAGAATAATGGAATCGTAGCATCAAAGGATTGAAAGCAACCTTGACGGTCTTCAGGTTCAACCCCCTGTTTGAAGTACCTTCCTATATACACCGATACAGTGTGAAATCTCAGAGAGTGTTCCATTCGTATTTTATTGGTTTATTCCATCTTTTCCAATGCTGTTTTTGCTCCTTTTCTTCTCCAGGCTGTTTTCACTGACCTCGAGATTTTGGCTGCCATTTTTGCAGCTGCCATCCATGATGTTGACCATCCTGGTGTTTCTAACCAGTTCCTGATAAATACCAGTGAGTGAACCACCTTTAATACCACAATTCCGTTTGTTCTTTAGGCTATTAATACTGTCTGCAGTCTAATCTATCTTAGGTCTTATCCACATGTCTTAGGGTTGTTTCTTACATGTCTGCTTTCCTCCTATCCTTGAATCGAGAGGAATGTATGTCAACACGAAAGACGGCCCCATAGGCCAACATTTTCTGTGACTCAGCAATAGAGCTGGTTAATTTGTTGCCTGCACCCAATGTAACGTTGGATAATTTTAGGAAGCTCTGTTGAGCTTCCACCTCCATCTGACATTCTTTACCAGCAAAACATTGCTCCCTGCTATATGGCAAGGCAGGGTTGGAGGACTCCAGGTCCTTCAGTCAGCTGAAATATTTTATGTAAGGGGGTTTCAAGGTCAATATTCATTTCTTCTTTTACAGCCTGTCCTAGTAATGTTGATCTGTCAGAAGGCTGAGAAATTGATATTCCCATGGCAAAAATATTCCAGAAGAGTGCTTCTCAGCCTGTGATCCATGGACCCCTGGGGGGATGTGATGTCACAGGGGGTCTGCAAAGGCTTGAAGAAATGTTAAGGCTTGAAGAAACGTTATGAGTTAAATGCTGAGTTAAGTCTTGGTGGTCCGTGGCCACAAAAGGTATTTAAAAGGGGTCCATGGTGAAGAAAAGGTTGAGAACCACTGCTCTAGAAGATTCCAAACTGTTTCACTGAAGCCCCTCATCAAACACTGAGAGCTCAGGCTCAACATTTAGAACTCATCATAGTGAGAAAGCAAATCACTTGATTTCCACTCTTCTGGAAATTGAGATCTATCAGTAAGTTACCATTTCCAGAAGACCTCTCCTCCCCCTGCTATTACCTCCTTACTTCGGATGGGAGGATATCCTCATAGACCACCAATGGTTGGGGACAAAATTTCAGAGAGAAACCCAGACTGTAGATCACTTCTTGAAACAGAGTTTATCTATAGTAAGAGTAGAGTATCACAGATAAATTTTGGAGTGGCCGTCTTAAACAGGTTAATTCTTGAAAAAAATGCTAAGTAAGTGGTTAATTCTGCTGAATCAATAAAGCACTGACTTTTCATATGCTTAAAAAGTCCTTTCGGTACCTTTTAATTAATGTGGACATAGGAACTTTCTCCCTCAGGGTATTCTGTGGTTTAACCAGGGCTAAAACTTACTACAAGAAATGCAAACCTGGATCATTATTACAGTAGGTTTGAGGAAAGTGGGAGGCAAGCACACAAAATAAAAGGCAGAGTAATTTAACACGAAATGTTTTGATGCCAAAAGTAAACTAATTAGAAAATTCAAATTATGTAAAGAGAAGCTGGCTGAGAACTCAATTTAGAACTTTATACTCCTGAAGAAACAATACAAATGTCTATTACAAAACAAGAAAAGAAAATACACTATGCTTCTTGGCAGCAATTGATAACAACCCTAATGCAAGAAATATCATTCTACTCTGGTGCCTGATAGGTGGCACCAGATTGACAGGTGCCTTCCCCTTCCCCAATTCTTACCTGCCTCTATGTGGGAGGATTATTTTAGAGTATTATAGTCACAAGAAGTGTCTCCTAAATTCAATTTAACTGGTAATGCTAACCTGCTCCCTAATTGGGCCCAACTTTCAAATGCTGAAATGAAGAAGTTTATAAATCATCTAATGCCTGGTAAGGCTTTTGAAATATTATGCAATAACTGGGAATGGTGGCCCTCAGTTCTTGCTTCCCTGTTCACCTATACTGATCACTCTGTGCAAATATCAGAGGATTGGGGCCTAGTCATCATAGTGCCCATTTTTTAAAGAGGTACCTGAGACCTGCCTGCTAATTATAGGCCTGTTAGCCTTTTAAGTATAATAAGTAAGCTCTAGGCCTGACCCTTATACAACAAATTAGTTGTCTGAATCAATTCTAGACCACATTTGGTACATGAGCAAGCAGGCTTCAGGTTTGCACATTCTATCTATGGACATGCCCTTATACTTCAACACCTGGCAACAAAGATGATTAGGGGACTGGAGGCTAAAACATATAAGGAACGGTTGCTGGAATTGGGTATGTCTAGTTTAACGAAGAGAAGGACGAGGGGGGGGGACATGATAGCAGTGTTCCAATATCTCAGGGGCTGCCACAAAGAAGCGGGAGTCAAGCTATTCTCCAAGGCGCCTGAAGGCAGGACAAGGAGCAACGGGTGGAAGCTAACCAAAGAGAGAAGCAACCTAGAACTAAGGAGAAACTTCCTGACGGTTAGAACAATTAACCAGTGGAACAACCTGCCTCCAGAAGTGGTGAATGCTCCAACACTGGAAGTTTTTAAGAAGAAACTGGACAGCCATTTGTCCGAAATGGTATAGGGTTTCCTGCCTGAGCAGGGAGTTGGACTAGATGACCTCCAAGGTCCCTTCCAACTTTTATTATTATTATTATTATTATTATTATTATTATTATTATTATTATTATTATTATTATTATTATTATTATTATTTACATCTAAAATAGGCTTAATATTATATACTGCATTTACCGATTTTAGGTCCACATTCAATGTAGTTCCCAGAGCAAGGATATGAATTAAGCTTGTGAATACAGATAGTCCTCCACTTACAACCACAATTGAGCCCAAAATTTTTGTAGCTAAGTGAGCCAGTTGTTAAGTAGGTTTTGCCCCATTTTATGACCTTTCTTGCCACAGTTGTTAAAATGAATCCATGCAGTTGTTAAGTTAATAAGATGTTTGTTAAGTGAATCTGGCTTCCCCATTGACTTTGCTTGTCAGAAAGTCACAAAAGGTGATCACATGACCCGGACACAGCAGCCATCATAAATACGAGTCAGTTGCCAAGCATGTGAATTTTGATCATGTGACCATGGAATGCTGCACAATCATAAGTGTGCCACTGTAACTTTGAACTAGACAAACTGTTGTAATTTGATGGTACTACCATCAAAAGATGATTACTGTTTCTTATGCATAGTGTTTATAAGAATTGTTGTATGAATTCTACACAACACCAGTGAGATTCTAACTTATGCAGGAGTGAGCCAGGATGTATTTTATCTCCCTGCTGTTTAATAGCCTGTACATGAATCCACTCATGGTCAAAATAATCAGAATATCACCCCACAAAACTAGCAAATAGACATATTGCAGCTTTGTTGTATGCAGATGAAATAGTACTTCTATCACAAACAATGAACTCCGAATGCTCTGTCCAATTACTGCTCTGAGGAAGCACTTGCAATTAACCATAGTGAAACAAAGAGACCTAAACTGTGGGGCTGGAGGATAAATGGCCAGAGTATTGAAAAATGAAATCTTTTAAGTATTTGGGCATGGTTTTCCATAGCTCCACCAAATACTTTGCATATGAAAATTATGTCATATAAAATACTCAAGAAACAATAGCCGAAATTCAGTCTTTTTCACTGAATTTACCAGAGGAGTATAGCAGCACTTATAATGCCTGGTAAAATTAGTCAGACTTGATTATCCACTGACAAACCTACCACAATTGTAAAATTTATCTTGTTTTGTTTTGTTTTTATTTTTGATGTGTTAAAATTTGCAATTCTGTCAGTGACTATAATAAAAAAATATTCATGTTATTCATAAATTAGTAGGAGTGCAAATTCAGGGTTGTACCAAGTCCGAGGAACATGACAGGTAATACAATGAACTGTATTGGATTTTGGATATGAATTATTGTTTATGACCATAAAAAGCCAATTACTGCATCAAAACAAAGCAAGTAACTAAGCACTCAACTTTGAAGTTAGGCATATGACTTAAGGGAGTTTGAGATAATAATAATAATAATAATAATAATAATAATAATAATAACAACAACAACAACAACAACAACAACAACAACAACAATAATAATAATAGTAAAGTTGGAAGGGACCTTGAAGGTCATCTAGTCCAACCCCCTACTCAGGCAGGAAACCCTATACCATTTCGGACAAATGGCTATCCAGTCTCTTCTTAAAAACTTCCAGTGTTGGAGCATTCACCGCTTCTGGAGGCAGGTTGTTCCACTGGTTAATTGTTCTAACTGTCAGGAAGTTTCTCCTTAGTTCTAGGCTGCTTCTCTCCTTGATTAGTTTCCATCCGTTGCTTCTTGTCCTGCCTTCAGGCGCTTTGGAAAATAGCTTGACTCCCTCTTCTTTGTGATATTGGAACACTGAGATATTGGAACACTGCTATCATGTCCCCTCTCGTCCTTCTCTTCATTAAACTAGACATACCCAATTCCAGCAGCTGTTCCTTATATAGATAATTTCATTTAGCTACCAGAGCTAAGATCACCTAAGTTTATTTTTAAATCAGAACAAAGGCCAGTGTAATTCAGCATCCTTTGGATAAGCAACAATGATCTAGCATCAGCTGTCTATGGGCTTATTTGAGACCTAACATTTAAGCTGAAGCTTAGACAGTGTTTTTGTAAAAAAAAAAAAAAAAAAAAAGGTGCGGGAATTCTCACACGTCATACAACCCGCTCTTGCCTACCTTACAAGGTTCCATCCAAAAAAGATGCCAGAACTCCGTTCTGGGCATTCTATGACAAAAAAAAAGTCCTGAGCTTAGATATGAAATGTAAAAAAAGAATGAACTGAACAAGTAAGAAATTATTCAGTAAGAATGCATATAAAACCTGTACGTAAACTTTTCAGCTTCCTTACTTTACTGCTCTATTTCTTACCAAACTGAATGATTGCCACAACCTTAAACACTGCCTGCAAGGCTGACTTGTAAACTAATGATGCTCCTCTTCCTTCCCTATTTAATTTTATTTGTAGATTCAGAACTGGCACTAATGTATAACGATGCATCAGTGTTGGAGAATCATCATTTGGCAGTAGGATTCAAACTCTTGCAAGAGGAAAACTGTGATATTTTCCAGAATCTCTCTAAGAAGCAACGGCAAATGCTCCGGAAGATGGCCATTGACATGGTAAGAAGCTTTGTTGGTCATGGTCATAATTTTGAATGAATCACAATATTTCAAGTGACATGACAGGTGTTTATTGACATACATGGGATTGATTATTTTGATGTTGAAAGCTGTTTCAATGAGACTGTTGTTTAAGGATAAATTAATCACATAGTTAAGGAAGTAGGACAAGATTTTACTATTTTAAAAGCTTGGCAAACCTGTTTGAAAGAAAGGTTTATCTCTTGGGAAGTTTACATACTTCTTCCCAAGTTTACATTCTTCTCTTGGGAAGTTTCTGTTGTTTCATTTTTATCCCCTGAAAAATAGTTGCTTGGCTTCAGTCAAATATAATGAAAATTCAGAGAACATTATGGCTTTATCAGTTATGGAGGGTAAACTTCTACATTGCATTTTGTATTTAAAGGCCATTCTAACCCACATCAGGACTTAGAGAATATGAAAATCTAGTGATCATTTTTATTCTTGGGACTCTAATTAAAAACAAATGCTGAATGATTAATAAGGCAGTTAATCAAAGATATCTGTCAAAAACTGAACATGTGATTGAAGCCCCATTCCATTTCTACATTTGTCATTTGCAGCATGGCCACCATCTTGGCTTTGTAAAGAATATAAAGAAATTGAAATAAAATGAAAAAAAATATGTTGTGTGCGTCTGAAACTAAAAATCCATCCAAACAGCTGCTTTAACATGCATTCATTCCATTGTGAGTTGGCACAAAAGTATGGTGCCCTAAATTGCGCTGCTCCAACAGCTAATCTGTATTTATTCTAGGAACAAGCAGGGCTATTCTGACAATGTTAAGGTGGGACAAATTAAAGAGAGCAAGTAGTTGCTCAGTTTCCGTTCCTACCTGCTACAGTAGATGAGAAAAATAATTGCCTATTATTTGGCAATTATTTATTTACAGGTAGTTCTCCTTAACAACACTAATTGGGAGTCTGCTGTTAAGCAACGTGATTATAAATTGAAAAACCACATGACTGTAGTGCTGTCCCAGTTGTCACTGTTGAGTGAGGATTGTGAGGGTCATTAAGCAAGGACCTCTTGACACTGCAATTTGCAATTTCCATGTTGATTTTACTTGTTTGGAAACTGGCAGGGAGACTTACAAACTGCAATTGTGACCATGGGACACAGTGACAGTCAGAAGTGTGGGCCAATTGTCTGAAATGCAATCACATGACTGATGGGACACTGTGATGACCAGTTGTAGGTACTATTTGTTTAATACCATCGTGACCATTGTAATTTCAAGCAAACGTTGTATGGTCATTAAACAAGGCCCATTTGTATTCAGTTTCGATGCCACTTACTTCAATTAGGGTTTGAGTGACAGTAACTATGAATCAACTGTTTGATACTTCACCAGAGCTAATGTAATGATTTTAAAATCATATTGAAAATAAAATAAATACTCTTGGCTACCTTTGGAATTGCCCTACTGTTGATCTTCACAGCAAACTTACTACTATCACACTCTTCCTCTATTCCCAATATTTAAAGAGTTTTCTTTGTTTAAAGAAAGGTAGTGATACTTCATAATAAGGAACCCCCAAATGACCTAATGAGTACTTTGATAAATGCCAGATTGCCAGTGCCCACAAACTGGGGGGGAGAGGGTAGCATACCAAGAGCAATCAGATTCTGATTGTGCCATAGTCACTGGCAAAATGCTAGAAATTTTATGCAGCAGGGTTTATGCTGAGAAGATAGTAAGCATTCCTGTAACACTGAATCAACTAACTACAAAGTGAGCTGGGTTCAGTTATGGGCTGGGATAAACTGAAGATAATGTGAGGGGTTTCCTTAACAAATGGCTAATTAGGCATCTTCAAGCCACCTTTAGGAGGATGTTGGATGAGTTCTATGAAAATTGAATTGAATTCAACACTTTATTCAGTAAATTGTGATTAGACACACAAGGAATTTGTCTCCAGTGCAGAAGCTCTCAGTATACATACAAAGCAACAGAATAATGACCATCATCATCATCATCACCATCCCAAAAAGATAGGGGAATAAAGAAGATAATAAGGATACATAATAATACTACAGCCATACTACATGAGCAAATATATACAGACATTAAACAGCACTGTGAGATTTAGGTATTCAGCAGAGTGATAGCTGAATGATAGAAAAAAATGATGACAGAGTGATGGAAAAAGGGGAAAGGTTTAAAAAATCTGAATGAAGGTAGTAGGATCTGGTGCAGAGCTGAGGAATACATGAAGGAAAATGAATGTGCATATTGGATTATGAATGAAAAGATTAAAATGTGTGTCAGTATGAATTGGTGTCATCTAGTGGTGGTGGATGCATATGAAAATAAGAATCCATGTGTTGGTGACAGTTCATGTTACACTCTTCCAAATAGTAATAACATCAGACCCAGGGATCAGCTTCGGGGGGAAATGTGCAATACTAAGAAAGTATGTAATCCAGATGAAAATTATTCTATTAGCTAACATGAGTGGGTGGATGGGAACAAGATGACAGGGTACATAAAGAACTGATCAAGCCATTCTGAAGCTCAAGAATTAATAATAACAGTAATTATTCAGGGCTTATCTACTTAGAAAAAGACTTGTTTGTTTGAATGTGTGGTTTAAGCATAGATCTATATGGCTAAGGAATGAATATAAATTAAAAAGTGTGATTGATTTGAGAGTTTACAAAGAAAGATCAAGAGAATTAGTGAAGATGATGAAAGGTTCTGAATGTTATGTAGATCATTTTTATAGAAAGGTTTAAAGTGGATTTTGGAAATATATACATATTAAAAAAGAAAAAAGTGAAATTGGAGTGAAAGAATAATTAAAGGAAGGGAATGTCAGAGGCTGTATAAAATAAGATTAAAAGACAGATTACACAAAAAGAATGGAAAGTGTATGTAAAGGAAACAGGAAGTGGAAAATGCTTGGAACAGAGTGAAAAGAAATGTAATTACAGAGTGCCACAGAAGTGTGTGCATTTAAACTAATTGGAAGTAAAAAAAGAAGCTTAATGAAATGATCAGGTGAAAGAGGCAGTGAGTGAGAAAAAATATATATCAGAGAATGACTGCTGCAAAAAATAAGAATAAGATATAAAATCTTTCCCGGCAGAAAAAGAAAGTTTATACAATACAGTCAAAGAGAACAAGGAATGGTTAAGATTAAAAGCAGCAGAGAACAAGAGTGATATTAGTGATAATAAAAATTGTTTTTGAAGCGAGCTAAATAAGGAGAGTAAAAAGAATTACCGTATATACTTGAGTATAAGCCGAGTTTTTCAGCCCATTTTTTGAGCTGAAAAATGCCCCCCCAGGCTTATACTCGAGTCAATATTTTTCCCCAGTTCTTTGTGGACTTACAATATCCAAGCACCGTTTAAAGAGACGCCGAAGGAAGACGGTGCCCAACTGCGCGCCTTTCCCCCTTGGCGGGGTGGTCTTTTGCAAAGTCTTTTGCTCGGATATTGTAAGTCCACAGCAGCGCGGGCGGCAGCAGCAGCGGCGGCGTCTCCCGCTCCGAATCCCAGGCTGGAGTCAAGCCCTTTTCAAAAGCGCCGGCTCGGGAGC